GTGTAAGGCTTAAGGCAGTAAAGAAATCAAGGCAAATCCTTTCCTGGGGATCAAGGTTGGAATGACAAAGATAAACTCTTAACATTACCTCCTACAGAGTTTGAGTTCTGTATCGGAGGAGAGAGAAATCAAATTCTAGTTGGATGTAAATATTTCATTCCTTTTGTAGAAGGAAAGGATGCAGGGGGAGCTTGCCTTACGCTTCCTGAAATCACCGGTGAATATTCAAGACGTTAATGAACAAGGATAGGAATGCAATTGGGCCTTAAAATAGCAGGTTTGGTACACTGCTGTTTCATGGCAATTACTGTAATAGCTTGTATCGTGCTGGATGAATCACAGGGTAATCTTGGTGTAATCTTGGTGCACCTGTCTGAGATTAGCGGGGTTGTTTACCGCAGTGCAGCTTTGAGGTTTCGCTCAGCCAGGTGATACGGAAGGACCTGCTGCTGTGTTGTAAGTCCCTGGGCTCCCCACCCAGCCTCGTGCCCACAGCCATTGCCTCAACACACCGCCCTTCCTTCACCACCCAGTGCCACGATGGCAGCCGGTGGCCTTGAGGATCAGGAGGTTGCTGTTGCCCTGCCTGGAGTGTGACCTGAGTGCAGCCCAGCACTGCGCAGTGGTAATGCAGCCATCATAGAATCCTAGCAAGGCCTGGGTTGCACAGGAGCACAGTGCTCATCCAGCTCCAACCCCTGCTGTGTGCAGGTCGCCAACCAGCAGCCCAGGCTGCCCAGAGCCACATCCAGCCTGGCCTTGAATGCCTGCAGGGATGGGGCATCCACAGCCTCCTTGGGCAACCTGTGCCAGTGCCTCACCACCCTCTGGCTCCAAAACTTCCTCCTCATATCCAACCCAAACCTCCCCTGTCTCACTTTAAAACCATTCCCCTTGTCCTGTCATTGCTTGGTTTTCACAACCATCAAGAAGCTGTTTTTTTCCCCACTTTGCCAAGCCTCACTAACAAGCAGTGCTGTGCTGCAGTTCATTGTCATCTGCAACAAATCTGATGGCTCTGAAAGACTGCATTCACTTTTATGAAGACCAAACCGTGCTCCTGATGGCAGGAAGGGGCGTTCCTTCTGTACTGGATGGTCTTTTTGCTGGGGTTTCCCAGCAGTGTAACAGTGATCAAGCCTGCCACGCACCCAGGGTGAAATACAGCGAGCTGAGATGCTGTGGCTGCAGGCACTAAAAGTCACAGAGTGGTTGGGCTTGGAAGGGACCTCTGGAGATCAGCTCACCCAATCCCCAGTTGTTAAGTGTTGGTGGGGACCAACTCCTGGGTCTCCCTAAAATCCCACTGAGCTTTGGAAAACCTGGCTCCCTTATGAAGCCCTGCTTTGAAAACGAAGCCCTGTAGTAATCTCTCTCTGGATCCGAAAGTGATTTACTGATGAAGTGTTTTCCAGATAAATGCCCTTTCCAGCCCTAGAGCCAGATATATTATTTTATCTCTAAACCAAATTAGGCTGTAAAGATTTTACAATAAATGTTTTCTTATTTCAGTCGTTCCGTTTTTCTTTTTCCTGGCCCAGCTTCTCTGGGAGAGCCTGTTGCCCATCTGTTATTTGAGATTTGCTATTTGCTGCTGTGTTCTACTTTAAAGAAACTCAGTGGGAAAGTTTTTTTCCAGCAGAAAGAGCCTGAAAACGTTTATTTTAATTGCTAATGCTTCGAATTTCAGAAATCTGTAGGTGGAAATTCCCATGTGAAAACCTCGGAACCCTTCAGAAATGAAGAAGAGGTCTGTTGTCTTCATTTGGTTTAGAGTACAAAATAGTATTCACATCATTTTTTTTTTTTTTTTTTAATTTTTTAAAAAATCTTATTATGGATTCAGTGAATGGAGCCTCATCAGAACGCTTGGTGGAGAATTAAGGAGCTGCTTGCAGATTTTTCCCAGCGAGGATCAACATCTGACACAGTTGTGCCTTTGCTTCGGCAACAATGGCATCCTTTATGCTCACTGCCATGCCTTGTGTGCTTTGTTTCTTCCTGCAGGCAGAACTGTGCTGTGAGAGCAGCAGAGCTGGATGTGTGTGCATGAGCCCTGCAGAGCAGCAGGTGTAAAACATAGGGGACACAGCCGAGGTGAAGACCAGCACACGATGAGCAGCTACTGCTGGAGTTTGCTTCTTGTTCTCCGTGCGGCAGTGATCAATAATGATTCACAATTGTGGTGTTTAACGGGTTGAGTTTGAGAAAGTTCATTCCAAAACCTGATGGCACTCCGTGCATGGGTTGTCGACTCTAAAATGAGTTTAGTTTTCACACACAACTGCAGTTTGTGTCCTTTTTCATGACGATTAATTCCTGCAGTTCAAAGCGCCTTGAGTTCTTCTGATTGTTCGGATCCCTTTTCATTAAGTAGCCATGCCTTTCCAACAGCCCAGCCTTTTCATTCATCTGGTCGGATCAACGATACCCAAAACATCAGAAATCCAGGGTGGAATAATTCAGTGCTGTCTGGAAGAGCTGTTTTAGCAACTGAATGGCAAAAGTGGGTCCTGTGCTGCGCCACGGAATCATAGAATAGGTTGGAAGGGAGCCCAAGGATCATCAGGTTCCAACCACCGTGCCAAAGGTGTCTTGGCATTTTGGTCAGGCCAGCCAGACTGGTGCGGTCTGGTGCTGCAGCAGTGGTCAGAGCATTAAAACAGGCTTTGAGGATCTTGGAAGGGAGGAACAAGAGGGGATTGGGATGTGCAGGAGGCCGGGATGACAGAGGCTGGGGGTGATCAGAGCCTTTGCTCCCTGCATCACGCTGCGTGCCTGCTTACAGGGCTGCCTGTGGGTTTCCCAGTCGTGAGTACACTTGGGTAATCAGCAGAGCACCCACGCCAGCACCCAGCCGTGATGTGGGGCCGCTCGCTCTGGTTATCTGCCCACAGCAGCTGCTGCTTTCCCTGCTGCTCAATTCGCTGTGCTGCAGGAGCTGCCCAGCAGTGCCATCACCCAGAGCCTGCCCTGCTCCAGCTGCAAGGCCAGGGCTGTTAGGGGATGATCGGCACTTGTGGTATTGTAGAAACACTGTTGGACTGTAAATCTTCTATGGTGAAGGTTTTGAAACAGGCTTTGGAACATGGAGTGTTCCTGCCTGGAGGGGAGATCACTGCAAGGAGATTTCCCTTTAGTCTTCCTAGCTCGTTGCTGTGTTGGTCTAAGAGATGATGAATTCAGAATAAATAAGGGAGGTGCTTGCAGATCTCTGCTGCTTTTTGTTCTCCCCTGTGAGCACCTGGTATGAAAGCACTTCACATCTGACAGGCTAGGCATCTCTGCTTTCTGTTCCTGCACTTGGGAACTCTTTGTGCTCTGTGTTGGTTTTTCTGTTTGGTTGTTTGTTTGTTTTTTACTTTGCATTTATGTGTCTAGTTTTCCTTTACCGTTTTTGTTTGGTTTTGCATCTATTGTTGCTTTTCCCAGCTGCCCTTATCAGCTGCTTTCACACCATCTGTGTAGGAACAGTTCTTTGAGTAGTAAAGCCTTGGTGCTCTTTTTCCCTCATCTTCTTTTTTAAGTCTCTCCTTTTGTGGCTGAGTGCTTCGCTTCCTTGGAGAGCTGAGTTTGTGTGGTGTGTATGTACACGTGTACAGTGTTTGCATTTGATTGAGTCTCTTCCAGCTTGTACTGGAAGTCAGTGGTGGGATTGCTTTCTTGGTCTTGGGTCTCAGCCAGTCCCATGGCCACAGCCCCAAAGGCTCTGGAACCCACACACTGCTCTCCTTGATTTTCCAGAGATGGAAAATGGATCAGTATGGAGGAAAGGAGGCTCAGGGAGATCTTATCTATAGCTCCGTGAAGGGTGGTGGTAGCGAGGTGGGGGTTGGCCTCTGCTCCAAGGCAACCATGATAGGATGAGAGAGAACGGCCTGAAGTGGTGCCAGGAGAGGTTCAGGTTGGCTGTGAGGAAACATTTCTTTGCAGAAGGAATAATTCAGCAGTGGCACAGCTGCCCAGGGCTGGGGGGTCACCGTCCCAGAGGTGTTGCAGAGCCCTGGAGATGTGGCACTGAAGGATGTGGGCAGTGGGCATGGTGGGGTGGGCTGGGGGATCTTGGAGGTCTTCTCCAGCCTGCATGGTTCTGTGAAGTCCTGAGCTAAAATGGACAGTGTTGTCTCATCGTGCTTGAGGGTATCTGTGCAAGAGGAGAGTTCTCACTCCCTGCACTCACAGTACTGAATCTGGGCATCAGTCGTGGTTTGTTGAAGAACCATAGATGCCAGCACTCATTTTGGGGGATAATTCTGTTGTATCACATGGACAACACATGCTCAGCACCCAGCTTCCTCGTTTGGAGCGCCGGAAGTGAAACTAGAGTGACAGTGACTGAAAACAACCCCCACTGCAGACTGGTTTTAATTAAGAAGTGACTTCACTCTTTAAAATCGTCCTTTATGTTAATTGATACACAGATGGAGTTATTTTAAGTGCAGTTCCCAAAAGAAACAAAGCTCTGTGCTGTCAAGGCAAGCGTATGTGGTTTGCTTTCTCCTCCTTGTTCTGCATCTTCTTTACAACTTTAAACCCCCAGTTCCTATCAGTCAAATTGTATAAAGGAACATGAGCCTCACAAAGTTCCTCGTTCTTTTTGAAAATACAGGGCAGCCACATAGAGAGGAGTATAAATCCCATTTTCAACCCAGCACTCAGGTTTGCAGAATATACATCTTCCTGTTTCTTACATCCTCCAACACGCTCAGCTCCATGGGGAAGAAGCGGTGTTTCTCAGTGTGTGGTTGGGGTTTCCTTGTTGGGATTCCCAGCACTGGAACAAGCTGCCCAGGGAGGTGGTGGAGTCTCCTTCTCTGGAGATGTTCAACACCTGCCTGGATGCCGACCTGTGTGACCTGCTGTAGGGAACCTGCTTTGGCAGGGGTTGGACTCGATGATCTCTGGAGGTCCCTTCCAACCCCTGCAATTCTGTGATTCTGTGATTCTCTGCAGTCAGTTTGGGTTCTGTCGCATAAAAGAACCTCTTGTTTGGTTTTCAGAAACGGAGAAGATTCCCGTAATGCGAGGGCAGTGGTTTATTGATGGTACGTGGCAACCTCTGGAGGAGGAGGAAAGTAACCTGATAGAGCAGGAGCACCTCAACCGCTTCCGGGGCCAGCAGATGCAAGAGAGCTTTGATATGGAAGTATCAAAACCTGTTGATGGGAAGGAAGGTAAGATTACTTTGCATGACATGTCTTCTGGACAGCTGGAATCTTCTCCTTAACTAAGAGCTTGATCTGGGATGGTTTTCTGTTCTGCATAATGGGGAAGGTTACAGGGTGCAGTTTGCTGTCCCCTTCTCCACTGTATCTTCTGGTAGGATTTCCTGCTCTAGCACATTAGGTGAGCACTGTGGAATTATATTCACAGATGGACCTCTTGTTCCCATTTTGCTTAATGTTTCATATCTTTTAATTGTGTTTGAAATCTCATTTCAAACTGTAATCCCTTTATGGGCTAAGAAGTGTGTCAGTGTCTGAAGGCAAACTGGCTATTAGTTCTCTGGCTGGCGTTCCTAATTTCTGCCCTAAAGGGAGCATCCATTTTACAGATCACATTTCATTTTCCATTCTAGCTCGATCTGTGACTTTATTAGAGTAGTTTTCAGCCAGTCTGAAGTCTCGGGCACTCATTCAGTTATGGAAGTCCTTATGTTTTAATCACCAGGCTGAGGGCGTTCAGTTAGGATTCTTGGCAATCTCAGTCAAACGCCTTTAACTTTGTTAAGAACAGTCTTCTGAACTTACTGTGCAGTTGAACTGATTGCTCTGGGCAAATGTAGCACAGCAGAAGTTTATTATTTTTGGCTTTCATGCTTTGCTTTTGTGTGTCTGTTGTCCCTTGTGCAACTTTCTCAAAGGAGGAGCTGCAAGCGCAGAGCCCTGGCAATACGTTTTAGTAGCATTTGGGGTTATCCTTTACAAAGCAACTTTGTGGTTTAAAGGAGCTTAAACAAAACTTGGAACAAAACAGTTACAGAGGTAGAAATGGCTGTGCTTTGGTGCAGACATGCAGTCCTCACGTGGGAGCTGTGCCATCACGTGCATAAAACCTTGTGAATAATTTAGAAGCCAGATAGCATTCGGGATTCTTCTGTAATAGGAAAACCAGAATCGCATTTTTTGACTTCAGGGGAATTGTTGGGAATACAGAAAGCAGCAAAGTCCTAGCTCCCTTCATAGCCAGTGAGGACACTGAACTGTCCTGGTTTTTATTTTGCATAGAATGGCTTGGGTTGAAAAGGACCACAGCGATCATCTAGTTTCAATCCCCCCTGCTGTGTGCAGGGTTGCCAACCACCAGACCAAACCATTTGTCCCCTGACCAACCCTGCAGAAGCCTTCTGCTTTAACAGCTCTGTCAGGTGGGTGCCTAAAGTCGGGTGACCTCTGACCCCCCAGCGCAGTGCCCACAGCTTCTGAAAGGTGCTTTTACCTGGGTTTGGTTGGCCTGTGTCAATTTATCATTCCAGTGCACTGATACAAATGCCAGCATTGTTATCGCAGCTGTAGTCCTGCTGAGAGCACAGTGTCATTTCTGGTTGGTCAGCATGAATTTGCTTGGAAAGCACATCCTTATGGCTGCTGAGTGCTTCCAGCCTTTAGTAGCATAATATCTGTAGGAAGGAAGAGAAAATGCCTTCAGCTGCACTTGGGTTCACCTCATCGGGTAAGGAATGGGGCTCAGGTGGGCTTTTCTTCCAGCAAATGTCTGGGTTGTGGAACAGAAAAATTCAGATCTGAATCGAGGAAAGGAATGGGAAAGATACAGTCCTTGTTATTTACAGAAATGTAAGAGATCAGAGAGCCTCCAGCCCCCAGGGCCTTTTCTAAAGCTGAACTAAAACAATAACAGTGAGGCATGCAGTGACTTCAAAAGGGAGCATAAGTCCTAACTCTCTGAAGGCTTTCTCCTAGAAATTCGGGAAGATGCAGAAAAAATGATCAACAATAAGTGTGAAAAGTGCATTTTTCATCTTAATTAGCCTCTCAAAACATTTCTGATGGGCTGAAATCTGCGATTTCCATCTGCAGGTGGCACGGGGAGAAGCTTTACAACTTGCATTATCACTGGTGAGGTAAACATCATTAGTTGGAGAAGTGCTGAGTTCAGCTTAAATTGCTTCGTTGCTTTGTTGCTGCAACTTGTTGTCATTGCATCCTGTATTAAATACATCTCAGCCCCATTAAGGTTTACAGGTGCCTGTTACTTAAGACTAATGAAAGCTAGGATGGACCTGTAGGTATCACTGGGAGGCAAAATGGCTCTTCACAACACTACAGTACAACCTTGTAAATGCTGAAAACCTAGCAGTCTTATCTGACCCATCAGCAAGAGGGACGGCAGTCTCTGCTGATTTGCTGTTACAATGCCTGTTATTACCTAGGCATAATTGCTTTATTATTTGATCGTGCCTCCTTGCTTCACAAATAATGAATAACAGTGAGGCTCTTGCTGATATTCAGCTGAGTCTTGTTGGGCCCTGATCTTAGGCCAGCTGTGCTTTAAAGCAGTGGCAGCAGGTTGAAAAGTTAAGAGTAGATTTCAGCTATTTGCTTTCTTAATTCTGCTCCCAGATTGAAGCATCTTAAGAAAACATGGATAAGCTTTATCCAGAACTTTTGTTAACGACAGACTGCCAATGAATAATTACCCCATTATTAAACTGCCAGTCCAAGAATGCCTTCCTTTGAAAGTGCACAACGTTTCAGAACAGTGGTCCCCAATCCGGCCTGCAGGGATGATAATAATGTTCATCCTACTCTTCAGTGCTCATGGAGACCAAGTATTTAATTTCATGCACTGCAAAATGAAGTGCACTTTTGCTGCCTGATGTATTTGATTCCTCCTGGCCTCTGATCCTCTGCAGTGGTCTCTGAGTGGTGATCTCAGCAGTGATGTGACTTCCTTGGGTGAATCATTCGTCAGGTCAGAACTCCAAAATGGAGCACTTTGCTTATTTCTTGGCATCGTCAAAGCAGATTAATGTGAGCTTTGGTTTTTCAATATCCAACTGATATTTGGATTTGAGATTTGGGTCCCAGAAGGCTGAGTTCCAGAGCTGTGTCTGCTGCTTATAGAAATTAGACAGATTTCTGATATTCCTGGAGGAGTGCTGAGCACCTGCCATGCTTGCAGGAGGCCTCTTACCCTCACCAGAGGTTTCTGAAGTGCAGTATCATGTATATGAGATGCTGGCAAGTGACAGCTGATCTCTCAGGCCACCACACAGCAGGTAGTGTGTGTGTGTGTGTGGCTATGCAGGATGTTCTCCTTCCTGCCCCAAACCAGGCAGGAGGAATGCTACCAGAACACCAGTGCAAGCAAAAGCTGCAAAGAAATCACCTCTCACCTCCTTAGTCTGACTGCCCTCAGAGTTTGCTTTGATCCTGGCCAGATTCTGAATACATTATTCAGCTCTAAGTGTTAGTCTGATTGTTGATAGACAAAGAAACATTGCAATTCTGCCTATGAAGATGGGATAACCTTTAGAGCTACAGGAAGAATCCACATTGGGGATGAGGAGCAGAGATTTGGCTGCATTTCTCTGACTGCTTTGTTGTGGAAGAGACAATCTACAGCCTGTGCAAATCGCAAATGTGATATTGGCAGATTCAGGACAGTATCTTCTAGCTTGCCCTCACTTGTGTAGCTTAGAAATCAATTTTTTGAGCAAGAGTAGTGCTGGTGTTGTCCTGTGGTAGTTGTATGGGGGCTCGGTGTTTGCTGCTCCAGTCTTTCCTACAGCAGTCCTGTCTGAAGCCTTCAACCATTCAGTGAGATGCTGCAGTGCTGAAGCTGTATCTGTAGGCTCCCACCGACTACCAGCTCTGATTTTTAGTTCCGCCACCATGCTGATAGGTGAGATAGGATGATGTTGGGGGCTTTTTGGGCCTCACGTTCATTTGCCCATGTGTTGATTGGTTTTTTTTTCATCCAGGCTTTTTTGATAAGAACAAGGGTTTTGCTTGTCTTTCTTAGGGAAGGTTCATCCTTCAAGCTGAACATGCATAGGTTAATATCAGCATGAGGTGTAAGGTGACATTTTTGTTCTTAGGTTCAAAATTTTAAATATAGATATTGACCATTGAAATATGAAACTAAGGAGTTTGTTTGGTCACACTGAGATGGCTGTCACTGCCTTCCTGCAGCACTACTGACCTTTCTTGTACTGTGCTTCTGCCCATGTATTATGCTTAAATATATTGTTGTTAAATAACTCTATTAATATTTGAGACCTTTATTGTAGCAGTTGTTCTGTGAAGCAGCGTTTAAGGTGAAAACATTTTGAAAGGAATACAAAAAGGGTATTGTAAAACCTTGTTAGCAAACAGTAAGATTAAAAGGTATAGAATAAGTAAGATTTAGAAACTTATTTTCATACATGCTTAGACAGTGAGTTTAGGACTTGCTCATCTGAAGAGCAGCATTCTCTAGCAACCTTGGTGAGATCAAGGCCACTGTAAGATAAAAACAAAGCCATGAACTTGGATAATAGCAAGTTCTGAAAGGATCTCAGACTAGATGCTTTGCTAACATCATTTAACCACAATAAAGGCAGGAATGTTCTGCATCTGAAGTGTTGCTTTTTCTCCCCTGCTGTGTGATCGAAGCCCACACATCCCCTGCTGTGTGCTCCTGCAGCACAGAGGAGCTGTTAGCAGGCAGCACAGCTCCAGCTGCAGAGAGGGAGGAGCAGTGTCTGCAATACAGAGCAGCCTGCCATTGAGCTGCAGGTTAGCTCTTAGAGTCAGGTACAGTTAGGTACCTGTCTTTTGTTCTTCTGTTAGCTTTTCAAGAATATTCGTTTAACTGGGGAGAAGCGAGCTGGAAGTTTAATACACATGATGGTAAAATAGGGACAATGTTTAGAGAGGGCAGATGGAGGTTGGATGTCAGGGGAAGTTGTGTGCTGTGAGAGTGGTGAGGTGCTGGAACAGCTGCCCAGAGAGGCTGTGATGCCCCGTCCATCCCTGGAGGTGTTGAAGGCCAGGTTGGATGGGGCCCTGGGCAGCCTGGGCTGCTGTGAAATGTGGAGGTTGGTGGCCCTGTATGGCACAGGGGGGTTGGAGCTTCGTGATCCTTGAGGTCCTTTCCAACCCAGGCCATTCTGTGATTCTGTAGCTGATTGTATTTGCAGAGAGGTGGTGGAGCATCCGTCCTTAAAAATGCTCAGATTTCAGCTGGATATTGCCAGAGCAACCTGATCCAAACGTGATATTACATTCAACTGAAAATCTAGTCCTGTCTGTGGGAAACTGGAGCAGATAATCCCCAGCAAGTTCCTTCAATGGAAATCAACTCTGTGATTCTGTGAGAGACTGTAAGAAATGTAGAAATCCCCACGAGTCAGAATCAGAACAGATTTTATAATGCATTGATTTTGAAACCACGTGAGTTTCTTGGGTTTTGCTATGGGCTTCAGTGTGTCATTACATGCCATGAAAAGTATAGAAACTGTGTTTGGAGTTTTTGCTTTTTTTGCCTTAGGCTTCAAATACAGTTTTCTCTGTTGATTAAAACAGAAAAAACCATTAACAATACATTTTTGTTGCAGCTGACTGTGCTAACCTTTAGTAAGGAAAGTCTCATTCATGCAGTCACAGAATTGCCAGGATCAGAAGGGATCTGTGGAGATTGAGAAAGCAGCAGAGCCAATGAAGGCAGGTTGCTCAGCATGTTTCCATGGGGTTTTGCTTATCTCCAGCAGAGGAGACTCCACAGCATCTCTGTGGGCAGCCTGTTCCTGTATTGCCACAGCCAGCACAGTACTCTGTAGGCTGAATTGTTCCATTAAGTCCCAGTGCAGGAATGATGAGCCTAGTTTCCCTCCCTGTAGAAAACTGATGCGCAACAGTAATGTACAGCATCTGTATGAAGGCATCTGCTGACAGAGCTGTGAGCTGAGAGCGTGAGGAGGTGTGAGGTGCCCTTGACAGAAGCATGGAATATCACTTGTAAGTTACTGGGCTGTAGAGCATTAATTACTTCTAATGTCTGTAAGGGAGGGTGATGTCAGTTACATTTTCCCATTCCCCAGCAGGCAAACTGATTTCCAGCCATTGCAGCCTCAGCAACTTTATGGATTCAGAAGCCCAACTGGAGACTCTGATTTCTCACTGGCTTTAAGCACACACATTCTTGACTACATAAGGTTTTTGAGGCTCCTGTTGTTTGCTTGCAATCCAAGGCTATTTGTACAAGTGCAGAAGGTGGGTTGGTAGGAGCTCAGCCTTGCTGTGCAAGTGCCAAGAGAAGCAGCCACATGACTGCATAACTCAATCTGCTTGGCAGCAGTTTCCCCTTTCCTTCAAGCATTCCTTCTGTAATTGCACAGCACTGATGTGAAGGTAAGTCCGTGAAAAAGAATCTTTGGCACAGCTATGTGGTGTTTCAGGGGTGAAGTAAGACGAGTGAATGTCTAATAGGAACTGTGGGCTTGCCTTGCCATCCAAGGGAAGCTCCTGCTCACAATGGGAGGGCTGTCAGAGGCACGGTGTGTGCTGCTGGGTTTCTCTGCTGAAGGACTCACAGCACAGGTTAACAGTGGGATGTCGTTTCTTGCAGTCTTTGGGGAAAATAATAGAGCTGTGCTTGAAGATGAGTTGTTTATTTTTCCAAATGTTTAGAGTCTGCTTAAAAGTGCCTTTGTTCTGCCCTATGCCACCTTGTGTGTTAATGCTTTGGTACGCCTCGATGCAAAGGCACTCAGTGAAACTGCATGCACTGTCACAGCTTTCCTTTCCTAACGCCCTGAGCTTTGTTGTGATGTCGTAACTGTTTATGAAGAGCAAAGAGACTGAATGTGCCTGACGTGACCTGACGCTCGTGCTACAGAACCAGTTGAAGTGTGTGTGCTTTTTCAACAAATGCATCGACTCTTTTTCTTTTGTGATGGTAATGCTAATGAAAATTGACACTCCTTTTAAAAATTTTACTTTGAAGCTCAGTGTTTTTACTTTTAGTTCTCTACTACCTCCCTCCCTTCTCCCTCCCTTCTTTGTTCAAATGGAGAGGATATAAGGAGAATTCAGATGCTGCATGTCTTAAACGAAAGCGTTCCCAAGGTACAGTAATTGTAGATTATTATTTTTTTTCTTGTAGTACTCCTGGCATAGGAAGCTTTGCATTCTAGTTTGCTCGTATCAGTTAAATGTGCTAGAATTACATGCTTCACTTTCTTGCACCGTGTTCTTGCCATTTCCCCCACATGGGAAGGAAAAAGCACTGAATCTTAGGAGAAAAACAGCAGTGCTGCGAGTCGTAGAGAAAAGTAGATGCTAGCAATACTGTGCTCTAGTTTTATTATAGTTTCATTATAATTGTTTGTGGCTGTGATTAATGACTGTAAACTTTTGTTTCTTACACACTCACTTTGTGGCTTGACTTTCTCAGTAAAATAGAAGCAACACTTTTAGAACCTCTGTAGGCCCAGCGTAAGGGAGACTGTACTGGGGAAGGAACTGAATAAAGAGTTTTGTAGTAGGCAGAATTTGCTGGCCAACCTTGGGATGATGGATGCACCTCTAGTTTTGTGTCGGAAGTTATTTTTACTGCAGCTTTTGTATCAATATTGGAATGAAGTGAATCACCAGATGTAGGATATGAAACAGGGAGGCTGTAGAGAATGCACCATCAAGGCTGCTGTATCACAGGAGGAACTTGGAGCTGTGGAACAGCTGATGTTGTGCCAGTTTGCTTCAGAAGGTGGAAGTAGTTCTTACAGGAGCCATTAAGGATTGCAGAAGGTTCCAAAGCACTTTGCCACACATCTTTGGCGTTGTTAGAGCTGGCAGTGATTAAAGTCGTGCTGACCACAGTGACATTGGAACCAGCCTGCTGCAAAAGGCACCTTTGATTTAAAATGTCAACGCATCTGGTAGGTTTAGAGTTATTCCTGTCATACTGTATATTTTTGTAGTTCCTAGGAGTATTCTGAAGGGTGAGGATCAACTTTGGCATGCATAAGTGTTTGCCTTGGAATTCCTACCATAATATTTTTCTGTAGTTGAGTCTAAAATGCAAATGTCTGAAAGCATAGAGATGCATAGGAAATCATTTCCTGCCTCTTCTCACACCTGGAACTCAAATCTGTAAAAGGTGAAAAGCATCGTAAAAAATACGATCGTAAAAAGTAAGAAAACTTGTCATCATAATTTTGAAATTATTTTATACATTATTTTTTCTCCAAATCGTGTTCGTTTGTAGTGTCCAATGGATTTGAATTAAGATTGCTTATTGGGCAATTAGTGACGTTCTTGAGTCAGAAGGTGAAAATTCCTGGGGAAAAAATAGAAGAAAAAGAAGAACAGCATGGATTTCAAGCAGTATAAATCTGTTCTGTCTTTTAGCCCTAACCAGGATGCCAGTGCCTTTGTGGAGTAGATGGAGAGCAGCTCTTAACACTTCAAAGATGCTTTTCCTTATTGATTTTTGACTTGCATTGGCACTGTGGTGGGAAAGAATCACCCCACGCTTCAGTCTTGGCTGGTAGATGAAAGTGCCAAGTTAAAACCAGGTGCTTACCTTCAAGGGTATTTAATTTTAAACTGCTGGCCCTGTGAGATGCCAGCTTCAGGTGCCTGTCTGCAGGTGCCTTCTGCTGGAAGCGTTTGGCTCCTGAAGCACTGGAGCCAGCATGCTGTTTGTGCTGGCAGCACACCTGCAGTCTGCACACCCCAGCTTCTGTGCTATGATGCTGCTCCTCAGCTATTCTCCAGCTGTTGTGGCTTAAGTTGAGTTTCTGCTGCCTGAGATCAGGTTCTTCAAGACTGGAGGAATATGTACTTCAGATTTTCCTTACCTCTTCGTTCTTAATATTTGAACTTTATAGAGGGATGTTTTCCTCTGTGCTCATCTGTCCTGGTGAGACTGGAGATTTGTGTGATGGCAATTCCTTTCCTATCCCTCACACTTCACCTATAGAATTACAGAATCGTTCAGGTTGGAAAAGACCTCTAAGATCACCAACCCCAGCCCTCCATGCCCACTGACCACATCCTTCAGTGCCACATCTCCATGCCTTTGGACCACCTCCTGTGACCCCATCGCTCTGGTGCAGCTGTGCCACTCCTTTCAGAGGAGAAATCCACCCTGAACTTCCTCTGGTGCAATTTAAGGCCATTAATGTGCTTCTCTCTGCTGTCTTCCATCTGCAGCTGGGCTGGGGCTTCCATTTGTTTGTACTCTAGGTGTCTGTTTGCTTGGTATTCCTGGGGTGGGGGAAAAAAAGGAAGTTTAATTTCTCTTTCCTAGATACAGAAGAAACCAAAACTTGATCTCATTTTCAAAGGCTTTGGGTTTTAATGCCAAACTGGAAAACTGAGCAGCATGCAGAATACTGAGGGGTTTTGCAGCAGGGGAAGGGGCATATGCAGTGACTCCTGCTAAGAAAGCTGCACGTGTTCTTAATGTCAGAGAAGGTGCCCATGTGAAAACAAAGCTACAAGAAGCCTGACCCAGAGGGATGTTCCTGTGCCATGGCTTTGTCAGGAGATGCCTTTGTCTTCTGTGCAATCCACACGTACAGCGTGCTCCTGGAGGACCACGAGGCGGAGGTGTGAACATGAAGGGCATTCCTCTGTGCCCTACCTGCTGCCTGACCTGAATTCTGCAACTTGATCTCAGTGCTTCTTCAGTGAAACCACGGCATGCCTTGGTGACTTTGTGACACTCAGTGACACCTGATGGTATGAACAGCTCCAGAGATGTCACTTTGACCACCTCTGCACCGTTTGCGTGGTTTACATCACAGCCTTTGGGTCTGGAAAGAAAATACAAACGTTATCATCTCATCTTCAGGAATATTTCATTCTTTCTTCTTTGGGTTCAAAATAGCAGTAGTAGTGTTTGTTATCCCATACCTGGAAAACGTGTTTACACTTTTTTTGGTTTTATTTTCTTTTTAAATGATTATTTTCACACTGCTATCAAATCTTCTCCAAAGTCATGTTTGTTTCCTGCCTTGTCATTAGCAAATTCTGCAAATGTCAGCAGTGAAAGCCCCTTTCATTGGGGCTCTTGATTACCATGAGAATCATAGAATCCTAGAACAGCCTGGGTTGCACAGGAGCACAGTGCTCATCCAGCTCCAAGCCCTGCTGTGTGCAGGTCGCCAACCAGCAGCCCAGGCTGCCCAGAGCCACATCCAGCCTGGCCTTGAATGCCTGCAGGGATGGGGCATCCACAGCCTCCTTGGGCAACCTGTGCCAGTGCATTGAATTTTCTCATTTTAGGAGATTTATATTCTTGTGATGGACAAGGCAGCCGGGGTTGGAGGATGAACTGGCATCCCAGTATTTCTAAGAGTCGGAACTGGGAGACAGAGAATCTCACCCTATCTCAGAAAGAATATGGGATGGTGTTTGGAACAGGTCCATTGATCCTCAGGCAGACTGTTTAAGCATCCCAAGAAGGAAAACTGAGAAACAAGAACCACTTTTTAAAACACTTGAGTGTGATGGGGGAAAGGAAGGATGTGTAATCCAAGTGCTGAAAAAGATATATTGATATGTATTTGTATCTGACCTTGAATGCAGTGTGTGTCTGCCTTGACAACGTGTCTCAGAGAGGTAAGTTATTCTGTTCCCAAGAGGCAGGGAAGCACAGTCCTGAGTATTACTGCTAGTTTCACGTGGTGCTCTTGTTAGAAGCAGACCCAATTTTTCGGGTTCCCTTTTGAATGCACTGCTAAATATCCATAGTGTTGGATGTTCATTTGCTGTTCCTTAGTGCACGCATGCATAGGTTTTAGTTTATTTCCATGTGTCCTTCAACAGATATTTTTGAGGAGTATAGAAGTGAAAGTTAGACTTTATTCTTTCCATGTGAGAATAATTAATGCAAAATTAAGAAAATCTACCACTTCCTGTATTTCCTTCCCAATGGAGAGGCTGGCCTTGATTCCAGAAAGCATTTGAGAATTGTTGCTCTTCACACTGCTGTTCTTCCAATGGTAGCAAGCAGTTGAGCCACAGACTTCTCTACTTCTTCCTGTGCATGCTTAGAGTCTTGAGCATGGCATTCTCCGAAGGCGTCGTGCTTCCAGTCCTGCTCTGTCAGCTTCCCCAGAAACGTACTGAGAGAAGGATTTCACAGAGCTCACATGGAATAAACCTCTGCTGTTAAAGACCTGCTGAGTGGATGCATGAAAAGTCTACAGTGGTCGTGGATTCGTGGGTAGAGGAGTCAGCAGCCATGCAGAAGGAAGCCTTCGCCCCTGGACTGCTCAGCTCTCAGCACGTCACAGCCTGTTGCATTGGCTCCACGTCTGAAAGAAGTCTTGCTAGGAATTTCCTTTCTTCTCTGATTCTAAACTGAGATCTCTGCATATGGGCTTCTCTCTTCACTTGCAAGGAAAAATCACTTTGTTGTTCTTTGGGTTCTCGCTATATTACTTCTTGCTCTGGCCACTCATCAGCCCAAGCTGACACCTCTAAGCCAGGCCGGCTTCCCTTCTTCTTCTATGCCACTGTAAAACAGCAGTGTAGTTCTGCTTCTTGTGGATCAGCTGTTAACTATGGTGGAAAGGGGTAATCCTTTTCTAATCTCCTTGTTTCTCAGGGACTTAATTTAGTTTTCCTCAGGCTATTTTGGGTCTATCTGCCTTGGAAAAGAAAGAAAAAATGCTTCAGGGCAAAGGTCACACAACATTTAATTAATTTGTGCTGGAAGAAAGTTAAAATATGAAACCATGACGGCTCATGCTTTCTCAGAATGTTTTTTGACTACAAAAAATTAGAGTAGCTTCAAGTAGAGGACAGATGAGAGCCGAGCTTGTTATGAAAAAATAGCATAAAACCCCTGTGAGTGTTTTCCATGGCTTCACAGCCTTTTTGCAAGACCCATGATGTGGTTAAACAGCATTTTCTTTTCATAGGGCTATTGCTGTTAGTTGTCAGGTCTCCAAGTGCTGAATGTTGCACACTGGACGAGAGCTAAGCAGCAGATTTCCAAGCACAGGTGATATCCGTCTTGCTGGTGATGCAGCAACTGTGATGCTGCTTTGTACACAGAAGCTCAGCTGGGAGATTCTGGCTTGCATTATTGCGTGCCTGCTGTGCTTAACCCCAGCAGTCAGGCAGTGTGTCATGAGGTTGGTTCCTGAGTTCAATCCGTTCCAAATCTGGAAAGCACAATCACTGCACAAAAAAAAAACCACTAGAGCTCTTTAGGAGCTTTTGAAAGAGCAAAATCCTGTTCTGTGCCAGAAATTACTCATTCAGAGGCTTTCTCACTGAACCACATTTTCAGCTCCTGGATGTTTCTGAAAGAATAGCAGAAGCAATAGAGCCTTCTCATAATGGAGCCTTGAAAGCTTCTGTGTTGCTCTGATGCTCCGTAGCCTTGGTTGAAAGCAGGGATCCCACTGTATGGCTGCAAAGGAGAGAAGGTAGGAGTGCACCTTCCTAGCAGAAGTGCATTGGTCAGCAGTATTGTGGGGTGCATCTCCCTTCCCCCCTCGTTTTTTGCTTTCAGTTAAGGATATGCTTTAGAAGCCTACCAGGCTGCAGGAGGATGATGTGCAATGTCTTCTCCAAACTGCTCTTTGTTCTGGTCAGATTAATCCTCAGTGTAAAAGCTTTCCAAGGTAAGAAGCAGTATGGATTTAGGTATAATGGAGCACTAGATATAAATGTGTGTGTGTGAATTACCCTTCTCTCTGTTTGAAGAGGCTTTTGTTTTTCCCCTTACCCATCTAAATTCAATGTTGTTCCTTTTTGCTGCAGCTATTCATAGTCTAAAGTTGAGTCGCAACCATGTGGACTGGCACAGTGTGGATGAAGTGTATCTGTACAGTGATGCAACAACATCTAAAATTGCAAGAACTGTTACACAAAAGTTGGGGTTTTCCAAAGGTAATATTTCTCAGAGTTTGTAAAAAAAACATAATGCAAATATCTGTATCTGAAGTGTTAATATGTGACTGGCCCCTTTTTGCTGGCGGGGTTTTGCAGGGGGGTGTAATAGATTCCTTAGGATGCATAATTATAACTGGACATGGAGTGTTTTTATTACGTTTGTTCCTTGTTACTTTGGAAGCAGCAGTTTTCATGTCCTTGCTGCATAATGCTGCTACTACAGTGGCAGTGTCTGATAGCCACAGTGTAAGAATTACAGTTGCCTTTGCAACCTTAGCTTTCTCTCTGTGTCCTTACAGATTGCAATGCTCTCCTTAAAAACATGGTTGTGCCTCCCCCTCTTGCCAGCTTTTGCTTTTTTCAGTTCATTGGACAGACCTATGAACTGAGAGGAGGGGTGAAGCACTTGGATCTAAATGGAAAGCATTTTCTGTAGGAATCCAGGCTCATTTAAGCTCAAAATTACCAGTTTTATAACCAGTGAAGCTGAGACAGTTATGAGAGAGGATGTTCCTCCTCAAATAAAGGCAGATTGTTGTCCATCTGGAATACTGGGACGTGTCCTCCCTGCCATGCTGCTCCTGTGCATTACTGGGCAACTACAAAAACAAGAAGAGGCACAGGTTGCTTTTGTTTTTCTCCTTGGTTTCTGAAGAGGCCAGGTAACAGGTCTGGCTTTAATCTGATGCCTCTGTTCTGTAATTACTGCCCTCTTAACCCACAGGGCTCTTGGGTGGATACTTAATTAATGTTTGCCAAGAATTAGTATAATTTAAGGCTCTCGTTGCCCAAGTTTCCAGAAGAGATGAAGTATTCTGTATCCACAGTGTGATTTTGGACAGCATGAAACAGATAATGCAGACATTCTGTCCTGAACGCTTTGGGAAGAAAAATAGCAAATAGAAGCTCCCATGATAAACCAGTCACGTATAAGAACTGCTCTCACTATTTCTGTTGTGTTTTCCTCCTCCTCTGAAACAAAACGAGTTGCTTCTTGCTGTTTTTTCCCCACGAGGAATGGTGCTGCCTTGCTCTGTGTTGCATCCAAAGGGCTTTGCTGAATGCCAGCTTTTCTGGTGTTGCACAGCTAGCTCTCATAGGAGGCTGCTGCCTTCTGTATGGCGCTGTCACTAGAGGGGGATGAAGCCACGCTGTGCCCTGGGTTTCAGCAGCCACCCGCAGGGCAATGAGAGGATACCCATACCTGCAGAATTGATTTTTGCTTTGGCCACTGAACTGGAGAATGCCTGGGGAAACGTGGGGTTTAATTGGCTGGAAAAACGTGCAGTTTGTCACTTTGGAGGAGAAATCTAAAGTTTTTCAAGCAGCTCCTCTAATGCCATCAGAGATCAAATGACAGTGAGTGCCTGTTTTATGGCAAGATGGTTTCAGTGATCACCTGCTGGGGAAGTAAGGTGGAGGTACAAGGAATTTTAATGGCTGAGGTGCATTGAAGAAGAGCATTATGTAATAAAAGTTAATGGGCAATCACACAACTGTTCTCTGAAAAAGTTGTTTTTCAAACCAGCTCTGAAATTGGTTCTTTTTGCATTGGAAATGGCTTTCTAATACATTGACTGAGAGAATGAATGTCACCTTGTTGCTCAGATCTCTCAGGATTTGAAAACTGCAGATTGTTAAATTGCATACTGATTTTTTCTGTATAATTGTATTTTCAGAATACTTTTTAATGTATTGGTCTCAGACAAATTAAGCTTCTGTCAACGTGTAAGACCATTGCATTTCATGAAATGTAACTGATCTAGGATCATGTTTTTTCTGCAGCTTCAAGTAGTGGGACAAGGCTACATAGAGGCTATGTAGAAGAAGCTACCTTAGAAGACAAGCCACCACAAACTAGTCACATTGTGTTTGTTGTGCATGGTATTGGGCAGAAAATGGACCAAGGAAGGATCATCAAAAATACAGCTATGTGAGTCCTTCATCGTGTTTGCAGTAGCAACTCTAACCTGAATAAAATGCTGACATTGTAAAGGACAGCAGATCCTTCAGTTTAAGCTGCACCTCTTCCAATTTCCTTCTCCCTCTCTACCCCTGAGTCATTACTCTTTGTACTGGGAGTGCATTACTTTCTATGTTAGCTCAACTGTATGAGCCTAAGGGAAAGCAGCTGCAATCAGGAAGAGCAAGGATGTATTTTGTTTCCATGACCAATGCTTCTGACTTCTAGGGGACTGTCTGGTGCATTTCCAGCACCAATGCTCAGTGACTTGGTCAAGTGAGGGAAGATTTTCATTTGACCAAAATCAAGGGGAATCTCCATTGCTCCTGCAGGTTGTCAGAGCAGTGAGCGAGTGAAGTGTGTGCTGGTAGGAGTGAAAGTGAGGAGCTGGAATGAATGCTGGCATTTGTAACGGTGCCGAGTTACTTAATATGGTGGGAAGCTGTTGCTGAGAATCTGCTCCTTGAGTTCATGCAAGCCTGATGAAAAGCAAAACGTAATTAAATGCTTATGGGGTCTTTTCATTAAAAGTCTTTTGTGAAGCTTGGTTTGCAAATGGGTTTTGATTTGACATCCGAGCTAACTCAGGAGGCCACTTACAGTGCTGGTGAATAGGAGGGCAAAGTCCTGAGTTAATGAGAATGCTATCCATGAAAATAGTTCTGTTGAATATTAGGAGTTGTAAACTCCTGATGACAGAACTGAGGAGACAAGCTGGTGCTAAGGAATGCTTGATTAGCTGAAAGAAGAGGCTAAAATGTGTGAACTGCAGATCTGTGTTGTGCAGATGGTTTAGTACGTGCATCCCAAACAGTTCCACCTTCCATCAAAGTCAACAGCAGTAGCAGCATGCCTGCTGCCTCTAGAGAAAGTGCCATGTGGAGCTGATGTCATGGTAAGGGTCTTGTGACACTGCCTTTAAATCCAGAGCAGCACCGGAGGTCAGTGCTTATGTGAGTGTCTGAGGTGCCATTGCTCTGCTGTGTGCCATCGTGTCGCCAGGCTCCTGAGCTCTGCAGCTCACTGTTCTGCTCCGTTGTCCTTGGCTGTAGTGGAGCAGGCCTTTCAATTTCACTACTGTCAGTTGTCATCTCAAAGCAACAAGCTGCTCTTTCCTGCTCTCCTCATTCTAGCACTTCACCGCTCTTATCTGTGGTGTTTTAGGAGCAAGCAGGCAAAAGCACTGAGAGAGAAATCCACAGCCCTTGATAAAAACCTGAAGCTGGTCACCAAAATATATGTAAAACCTTTTATTTTTTTAGGAGCCAATTGCACTGGTCGTGCAAAGGTCCTAAATATGAGTTGCTGGTTTAGCAGCCACCAGCAATCGTTAAGTCATTAAGATTTTCTACTTTTTCCTTCTACTCTGTTCTTCACTGAAAATGCATATGGGATTTGTGTGTGTGGATTAATTTCAGCTCAGCACAGAGTGCGCAGGTGTCCATTCCACAAGAAGTCACACTACAGATGGCAGCACATTGCATGGAATCATAGAATCACAGCAAGGCCTGGGTTGCACAGGAGCACAGTGCTCATCCAATTCCAACCCCTGCTGTGTGCAGGTCGCCAACCAGCAGCCCAGGCTGCCCAGAGCCACATCCAGCCTGGCCTTGAATGCCTGCAGGGATGGGGCATCCACAGCCTCCTTGGGCAACCTGTGCCAGTGCCTCACCACCCTCTGGCTCAAAATCTTCCTCCTCATATCCAACCTAAACCTCTCCTGTCTCACTTTAAAACCATTCAAACAAGAGTTTTTGTGCTTCAGGTAATTTCCCTCTGGTCTCACATTCCCTCAAGAAATATCAGGCAATCAGATGGCATAAAGCTGTAAAATGCTAGTTATTGGCATAAACTGTGTAGTCTGTACAAAACCTACAAAGGAAAGCATCGTGTTAGATGGAAATTTATTTTTTTCTTTAAGAACTTATCAGTGGGGAAGATCCCATATGTTCTAGGAAGGGATTTTAGAAGAAATGTCTTCCAGACCAATGCAGTGGCAGTTCTCACAAGCCATACTAACACTTTCTGTTAGCACTTTCATCTGTGATATGACTGTGTATTATTTTTTCTTCTTTTTTTTAAACATTCTTTTGCACCAGGGACACAAAAAGTCAAATGCTGCCTTCTGAAAATGGATAAGGGTAGGGAGATGTATTTTTTGACTTTTCAGACGTGCATGATCTAAGGAGAAAATATTTCAGTATTATTCCCTTTAAAATGGACATGGTTTTGTAGGAAACCTGTAGTTGCAGCCATGCTATCTGTATAACATAAGTCATTGCCATTGTTGTCACCATTCCTGCTTTCTTCCCTCACCAAATCTGGGTACTACCAGCAGCTGCAACACATTAGCAGCCCTCGGAGCTCATCGTTGTCTTGGGCTGCGTGCAGCTTTGATAGGTTTGTATCTCACTTGGGATATTGATGTTCCAGTGTGGGAATTTGGGATACAGACTGGGAGAGAACAGAGATAAGGCAGGTTAGAAGGAACATGTAGGTCAACCACCAGGCCTATGTGCAGATGGCTTCTCGTGGTGTCTCTTCTCCTAGGCCTTTAGGAAGTGCCCAGGATGCTAGTTTAGTGTCACGCTGCTTAGTTGATTGCACATTATAGGATGCTGCTTCAGGCATGAGCAGGTGGTGTCCATGTCTTTGATATGCAAGTAAGTGTAGAGCCTGCTGTAAGCTGTTATCCCAGTGTTCAGGTGGGTAGAAAGAAGCAGCACACTCCATGGTGCCTTTCATTGGTTTGGTATGGTGCTTGTGGGGTCTCCAGGTGGAAATCTCCCTTTTCCCAAACCTCTCTTGTGCATTATGTCTTTGCCACATGCACACATTATGGCATCTTTCGGATTCAATCTACCCTGCTATAAAACCTTTGTATTTTTTTCAGCCTGTATGAGAGCAGCACTTCTATGCAGAGCACAAAACCATAGCCCCACTTGAGCAAGTGGCCTTAAAAGAAAAAGAAAACTAAGTGCAAAAATGAAGCTTATAACTCAGATTTGGAGTTCTCTGCCTGTAACCCAGTGGGCTGAGAGGCACAACCAGAGCCCATTTGATATGCTGTCCTCAGATTACTGCCTCAAGAAGAAACTGGTGCACCTCCTGATGTAGCTCCATCATTAGGCAGATATTGTTCATCACAGAGCTGAAAACAGAACTCTGTTTCCAGGGTAATTTAAAATTGTATGCACTAATTTCATTAAGAAATGGAGTTCAGTCTGCTCATTAATGTGGTTCGATGCTAGGGTTGCAGGGTGTCCTGTAAGTAGGTAAATGGAAAAGATGCATCCTATCAATGTTTGAGTGAATGTGTCTTTGGGAGATGTGACATGATTTTGTTTCTGCACGGTGCAGTTAAACACATTTATTGTCTAAATGTAGCATGGCAGCTGGTACAACAAGCTGCTCCTGTCAGTGCTGATATTAACAGCAAGACTCGTCTGAGAAGAGACAGTACCTCCTCCAGGCTGGAACAATGATTCAGCTGACCTACTGTGAGCAGAATAATGAGCTGTGAGCTGTTCCAGCAGAAAAGGGGATAGTTTCTTTTAATGGAAGAAGATGCCGTATTCTGAATTTCTATGTAACATAAACCAAGATAGGATGGCTTAGTGTACTCTGCTGGCATTTTTTATTTCCCATCAGGTGCATTATTCTGGTGTTACATGACTCGTGGTACGAAGCAATGCTAACATTAAGAAATAGGAATAATTTGAAGCAATCCCGTTGTCTTACTGCAGATTGATCCTACCATCCTGAGCTTAAAAATTGAATGGAGTAATTGCTCTGCATATTTCCACAGCAGCTGTGATGTTACGATGCTTCTCTATTGCTCTTTCTCCAGGCCTGGTGTCTGTCTGCCTCTCTTTGAATCTCTTGTTTTGATTCAGATTCCTATTTGCCTTTGCTGCTGCTCACAGCACAAAAATTGCTGTCTGTGCAATCGCATCATCTTGGTACTGCACAGTCACCAATTACGTTTTTATTGCACGTCCCATTAGTAAGCTTTTTAATTGTGGATTGTCATTATAATAATTACTTCAGAATAGCAATTTTGGTAAATTTCCAATGATATGCAAGCCCTTGCAGAACACAGAGCCTCTCAGAGGCCTTCCAGTGCCTTTAAATGCTTGGATCTTAAATCAAGATTTCCTATATGCTTCTTTTTGTAAGCTTTTCAGGTGTTTGGTTGTTCTGTTTATTTTCCATTTAAAAGCTTACGTTGCACTGTATGCACATTACATGTTTGTTTTCCATTCTCTGGTGCTGGTATGCAAATAATAGTGGTTGTTGTACCAGTCTCAACTCGAGCTTTCTTTGGAAGGCAGATGAGAAGTTCAGCCTAAGAGGTAAAGGGTGATGGTTAGGGTATTAGTACTCCTGTAGGAGCTTGTTCTGTGTGCATTAATTAGTTATCTAACACGTGGCTGCATGTTGGACCAAAGCTACAGCAGTCATTACATGCATCTCTACTCACATCTGTCCTTCTTCCCTTCTTCTCCCCAGTCCTCTCCTCTGCCCAAAGTTGCACTTATGCTACTGCTGACTCTGTGCTCCTGTTGTAATCCAGATCACTGCAGTTACCAAAGAGTGAGAGTCCCATCCAGAATAAGGGAGAGAGCAGTGGGGAGGCAGGGTAGAGCAGCAGGAGCAGGGAATGTCTCATCTGCTTTGCTGCCAAAACCAGCATCAACCAAAGAGCTGCCTTGCTGCTGTTCGTAAGCTGTGCCAGGTAGGGAGGCACTTGGTTTGGAGTACCTGAACTGAACCTCTGCAGCCTTCTCTCAGAGATCCTGTTGTCATAACCTAGAATTTTGGGTTCTTTTGATCATGCAGAGTCCCATTAATCTTGAAAAGGATGAAGTATGAATCACGATTATGTTCACTTTGATGGTCTCCTAGAATTTTCATCTTTCTTCTGAAGTAAAATGAGTCTCCATATGTCCTAGAGCAGCACTCTGAGTATCTTAAGGCCTGAGAGCAGAGGAATCCCTGAAGTGCAGTGGCAGAGGACAACACGTGTCTCACAGGTGCTCTTTGAAGTCTGCCTTGAAAAAAACTGCATTTCTGAAACGCAGCTGAGCTTTTGAACCTGGTGTCCCTTTCATTTCCCCTGGCTTCAGCAGAACTCAGTATTTAGTGCTCATGCCCACTGCTCTCACTTGACTTAGCAAACGTAGCGTAAGCCAGCCCCGTGTTTTCCCAATAGCTTGTGGTATTCTCAAGGAGGCTGGGAGTGCTGAGCTCAATTTACAGAGCTCTGGAGTGGTGAAACCAATGCAGGAATGCTTTTGAAGCATAATGTCTCTCCTGTGAAGAAACGTTGAGGGAGCTGGGCTTGTTTAGCTTGGAGAACAGAAGGCTGCAGGAAGACCTCATGGTGGCCTTCAGTGCTTGAAGGGAGCGGATAAACAGGAGGGGAACGGCTGTGTGTGAGGGTGGATGGTGATGGGACAAGGGGAATGGCTTTAAAGTGAGACAGGGGAGGTTTGGGTTGGATATGAGGAGGAAGTTTTTCAGCCAGAGGGTGGTGAGGCACTGGCACAGGTTGCCCAAGGAGGCTGTGGATGCCCCATCCCTGCAGGCATTCAAGGCCAGGCTGGATGTGGCTCTGGGCAGCCTGGGCTGCTGGTTGGCGACCTGCACACAGCAGGGCTTGGAGCTGGATGAGCGCTGTGCTCCTGTGCAACCCAGGCCGTTCTATGGCTCTGTGTACAGGTGTGTGACCCAAACAAGGCATTAGTTTGTTTTGTTCCTGGGTTAACAACAGAAAGAATAGAGAGCTGCTCTGAGTGAATTTCTTGTTCATTCAGGGTAGAGTGTAATGTTGTGAGAGTAAAGGTATTTTGGTTGATGAAGTTTTCAAGCAAGCAGCAATGCTACCTGATTTATTTATTTTTTCCCCCACCTTTTTACTGGGGTTCGTTCCTGCTTTTGTAATGAAATGAAAATTGTGGAATGAATAGGAGAAGTTGATTCTTTTGTCTTTTATTAAGTGTGCCACGCGTTCAGCAATCAACACGGTGTTGTTATTCCCACTTTATGAGTGGTGTCATAGAATCACAGAATCGCTTGGGTTGGAATGGACCTTAAGGAGCATCTAGTTCCAACCCCCAAATAGGTGTATTCCCACCTTATAACAGGTATATTATTCCCACTTTACAAATGAGTGCATGCATTTAGAGCACGAGAGGAAGGAAAGCTGTTGAAGGTCGTCCTGTTCCCAGCCACTCACCCTACTGCTCTCTATCCTAAATCTTAGAATCCTAGAATGGCCTGGGTTGCACAGGAGCACAGCGCTCATCCAGCTCCAACCCCTGCTGTGTGCAGGTCACCAATCAGCAGCCCAGGCTGCCCAGAGCCACATCCAGCCTGGCCTTGAATGCCTGCAGGGATGGGGCATCCACAGCCTCCTTGGGCAACCTGTGCCAGTGCCTCACCACCTTCTGGCTCCAAAACTTCCTCCTCATATCCAACCCAAACCTCCCCTGTCTCAGTTCAATCATGAGCTCAGAGGCAGAAGCTGATGTAATGCCTCCTAAATCCAAGACCATTCCTCATGCTTGGCTGTGGATTGTCTGGCTGAAGACCATCTGTAAAGATGGTTTGGGAACAAGCAGAGTAAGATGTTCTACCCTTCAGGTGTTTTGCAGTGTTACCAACTATCAAGGTGATCTTATAAAATCTGTGTAGTAGATTGATCTTACTGTAGCTGGTTTCTTTTGTACAAGTTGTGCATGCTTCACAGAAGTAAAACGAGTAGTGTAATGATTAGAAAAAAAAATTAAAAGTAATACTTGTCAATATGTTAAAACATCTTTGGAATAGACTTTCTTATGTAAGGATACCTACCTATGTAAATATAGTGGTGTTATTTCATTGCATTAACCAGAGAGAGGCAGCCCAGTGTGTTTTATTTATGGTGAGTCTCAGAAGTATTTATTTTCAGGCCATTGCTCCTTGCTTGCAGCGTAGCAATATGTCACAGTGCTTTCCAAGGCATGCATTGCATCTGGGCTCAAGTGCATTTTCACTTAGAAAAATCATAAATTCTAGTTGTTACAGTGTGCTGGGGTGTATAGATTTAAGTAATTGTTGCTCTGGGGTCAATATTTCAGCTTCCGTTTGTATTGGAAAGGGGAATAACTCTGCATGTTTAGATGAGGATTTATCACTTCGGTTAGTGTTAATTTCACAAGTGGCTGGAGAGCCTTGCCAGCTAATAAAATAGCTAAAAACATTATTTTTCTTTAAGCCAGAAGGCATTTAATTAAAAGAAAGAAAAAAAAAAATAGCAAAGCAGAGTGCATTGATGTAGCAGGTGTTTTGTGCATGAGCACAGGCACACTGCTTAGCAATTACATCGCAGCTTTGATCAACATTTGTCATACAAAACTGTTGATGAAAACCAGTGGGAGATGCCACATAGTGCCATTCGCTGGGAATGAGATGTGCTGCTCTGGAAATTGGCCTTCTGATGTGTTTTGATGCCATTGTGACTCTCGGTTGGTATCAGGAGATCAGTGTGACATTGCTGCCGTAACAGTGGGGGATCTTTCTGATTGCTTTTGGCCAGTGACAGAGCTGGATTATCTCTAAGCGAGTTCAGTTTTAGGCAAAAAAATAATACATTTTTTTGTAACTGCATAGTTTGTGATGTGCAAAATGTCAGTCATGTGTTTTGTAGCATTAACCAGCTCCTTAAGGTTAAGTGGCAGTGTGGGATGGCGAGCAGAGGAGCACGCTCAGACATACACTGAGAAATGCATTTGCTGCACACTTGGTCAGTGAAGTGGCAGTTAACAAAATCTGTTGAAACAAAACTTGTGTGTACTTTGCTGGAGTGTGTTTTGCAAGGCACCAGGAGGATGCATTGATTTTTCCAACACGCCCAGGTGCAGCTGAGCATTTGGCCTTTTCAGCAGAAGCCTGGAACTCTGTTGCCAAAGGGTGGAATGCTTCTGGGCAGCCACAGCTGATGTGGGGGCAACCCCCAGATGTGGGTAAAAGTTGGAATTGTGCTTTGTGTTTAACAAAGTGTTGTGATTTGGTTTCCTGGCAGGGAGTTCCGCTTTAGCTCCTCCTTGTCTTTGGTGTGCAAGATATATTCAAAAAGCACATGCAGCACTAAGCAGAGGAAAGGTTTGTCAGCCTTAACTGAATCAGATCCTCTTGCCTTTCCTCCACCTCAAATGGGAAGAACGCTGTGCTGTATGTAAACCTTTGGACTACAGACTAGGAGATTAGAAGTGCAATCAAACCAGGCTTTAAAAATAGAGATGTTGATTAGCTGCATTTCTTGGCTGCTTGGTCATGCCACTGGTAACTATTTTGAAACACTGCGTGCCAAAGGATGTTCTCTCCTTTCCCTTTCTTTCCCTTTCTTTCATTTTCTTTCCCTTCCCTTCCTCCCCAGAAAAGCATCAGTAATGGAAAATATTTTGACAGCCCACTTCCATTAATATTTTGGTGCATCGCAGAACGACTGAGTACCATATGAGCTGCCAGTAGGAGCTGAAATTCAGCTCTGCATTTGTTCCTCTGCACACATCTGCCTTCAGCCTTCCTGCACAGCATAAATCCTGTCAGGGAGTTGGGTCTGCACAGGGCAGCAGCTACACTGGGAAATGAAGGATGAATTTCATCCACACTTCCTCCTTTTCATCTGCGCTGTCACCTCCTGTGGCAGTCTCATGAAAGAGCTTTGAGCAGCCCCTGTCCTGGTGTGGCAGCTCCCTGCTGCCTACTGCTGGCTTTGTTTTGAAGGGGTAAAGATGGACTTGATCTCAAGGCAGGAGTTTGACAGAGTTGTCTGTATGGGATACCACCAAGTGCTGACGCTGCTCTGGTGCAGACAGTTTTGCTCATCAAACAGAGGAGCTTCAGTGATTACTGTCTCAGGTGCTGGTGATCCAGGCTGAATGATTGCATTTCTGTCAAGCAGAACAAGAGCACTCATACTCAAGGAAAAGTATCTCAGCTGGGGGGAGGTTAAACTTCCCAAAGCCCGTCTGGATTGGTAGAAGTGCTGATGGGAGATTAATGTCACCTTGCATTTGGTCATAGCAGTCATGAGAGGGAGGCTGGCTTTGAAAATAGAAAAAAAGAACCCACAAGGCTTCAAAGCAAAACTCTGATGGCTGTAACTGGGAAGCAGCTGCTGGAAGCTGCAAGTTGAAATGCTAATAAATCACCCTGTGTCTCTCACTGAGAACTCTTAAGCCTTCCATTCTGATATGTGAAGTTAACATTCTGACTTATCAAGCACTGTTTTTATTAGTTTTCTTTGTGTTTAAAAGCACTGAAGTGTCTTCCTTAGTGGTCTAAATGGTTGATTTCAGTGTGTTCAGGATTCCAAGACAGTAAAACTGTTAGTTTTCAGATCATATGCTGCTCAAACCAACCAGAGTTAACAGATGTTTGTCAGTTGAACTTGAATGGTTTGGATCAGGCTCAAAGTGAAATCACAAAGAGCTCTGAAGCTCTTTGGAGAATGCAATGCACACAGTTTTCCACTCTGTGAGGATTTAAGCACTTTTTAACAAAATTGAGAGGTGAAGTAATTAGCAGTGTTGGTAAGCATGCATTGACATACCTTGAAAGCAGTAAGGAGAGAAACGCATTGCACCTGGATGCACTGAATTGTCTGCTAAGAGCACCATTAGCAGCCTTAACAGGAACATATTCTGTCTGTGTTTTTTTTTTTCAAGGATGCGAGATACTGCAAGAAAAATAGAAGAAAAGTATTTTTCCAACCTTGCAACACATGTTGAATTTCTTCCAGTTGAATGGAGGTCAAAACTCACCCTCGATGGAGGTACATTCTTTGGCTCTTTGGTTGTTCAGTAGCTGCAGTCTGCAAAACTGTCCCCAGAAGTTTCGTGCTGTATTCTTTGCCTGTGCCTTGTTTGGATTTTATCCTTCTCCTGCATGTAACTTAAGCCTCTTTTCTTTCAGACACTGTGGACTCCATTACTCCAGACAAAGTGAGGGGTCTGAGGGACATGCTGAACAGCAGTGCCATGGATATCATGTACTACACAAGTCCTCTTTATAGAGATGAAGTAAGTGGATTTTATATGAATTTTACTAGAGCAGGGCAGAGAGGCTGAAATAAACTGGATTTAGTGTTATTAAAGTTTCCTTCTGGGACCCTGAACTGAGCAAAGACCTGCAAAGGTCTTCAAGATATGGTTTAGTAGCTTGTGGTACTAATAGGAATGGGAGGGTGGTTGGACTAGATGATCTTGCAGGTCGTTTCCAACCTTGCAATTCTATGGTTCTGTGAAGGGAGTAGGAGCTTAAATGCATTGTATTTAGATTGAATAAAGTAAGGCGTCAGTGCCACAGCAAGTGGCATTGCTTTTGTCACGTCCTCCAGTCCTCACCTCCTGTATCAGTGACTGCATGCAGCATGCCAGGGTCAGGGATTCCAACTGTCAAGTTGTGGTTACATGTCTATCATCTGGATTTGACAGCATTCATCCTGGGTTTGAAAGAGGAACAGCCAGGCTTCTATGCCACATGGGCAATAGAAGTGTGTCTTTTGGTATTCTGCGGTAGAAAATAAGCAATGTTATGTGTGCAAGCATATAATAGGGTGATATAATGAGGGTGATATCACTGAGAATTAATCAGCTTTAAAATGTCCTGAAAGACGTTTTGCTTCTGAAAGAACAGGGATTCTGGGTTCTCCCTGTCAGTGAATGTGTAAAGGGTCTGGAAAACATCCAGCATGAGGATCCTCATCCCTGCTGTTTAGGGACTCTAAGTTTGGTATGTATTTTAGAGAAATTAAATGAAAAGCTGATGTTTGCGCTTCAAGTAATCAAAATACAGAGTTTTAATGGGAGAAAAGTAGAATAACAACAACTATAATCAGCGTGGTTTTAGAGCAGAAATGATTGTCTAAAATGGGTCTTGATCAGATTAGAAACAGAAGGGTTTTTCACAGCTTTTTCATGCATCTGTGTATGCTGAGCTAAGGAACTCCTTTAAGGTGAGATCCTTCTTACCTCCAACAAACATGTGCTGTTGGTTGTATGCTGGAGGTTGCTGTCTTGTCTTCCTCTATAGGCACACATGCTTTAGTCTGTTCAGATGCAGTGTGGCCTCGTTCAATGGAAAAGCCTCAAAGGTTAAAAAAGAAAAAATAAAAAGAAAGGACCCCAAAGATTAAGTACCCCAAGAGCATCCTTTGTCACACGTTCTGGAAAAGCCCCATGGCGTTGTTTTATGATTAGTTTCTATAGGAATTCTAGCTTTTCCTACCTTGCTTGTGTTATAAATGAAGTAATTCTAATCTTTTTGCAGCTTTCATGCCCAACCTGCATGGTTTGACTGGAGGTGAGAGGTGGACGAATACTTTCAAAGCTTACTTGAGGCTTTGGTGCTACCTTTCATTAAAATTTGATATGTTTAAGTATTTCAGACTGTTAACATAATTGCCAAACCTAAAACTCCTAGTAATACTGATTTTGCTTATAGCAGCCATGGCTGAGAAATTGCTGTGAGCCTTTTCAGCTTCCAGTGCTAGAAATAAGCGTACTGAAAGCTGTGCTCTTGTTGCTCAGTAATGCAGAGTTTATTGTTCAGGGCTTCTGGGTTCTCAGCTGTGTATCAGGTTTCTTTGCTGTGGAACTGAGAGCAGCCTGAGCTGCTGTAGCAAGTGAAGAAAACTTCTCTGGCAGCTCAAAAATAGATTTTTAAAGTGCATTGGAGGCTCAGCATGTCTTTTGGGCAGTGAATTAGCTAGCAAAGGTTAGGTATGCAGGCCACCGGTGCATGAAAAATTCAATTTGTTGCTCAGTAGAGCTGTAGTTTTACAGGTATATCGCATCCCTGAGGTATGAGAATTGGCAAATACAATGAGTGTACTGTGGCTGTGCTTAGATCTGATTACACAAGTTGTTTTCTTCACTTAATCAAGTGAATTTTCCTGAAATGTCTGCAACAATACACGCGAGATTGCCATTGCCCTGCCTTATTCAGACTGCACCAGTACGTCTTACACCTTTCTCAAAGCAAAGTTGGACAGTTTGAATAGCAAGCAAGAAACAAGAAGGCAATCTTACAGGTGTAATGTTAAAACCTTGAAGAACAGGTTGCTGAAATGAATGCCTGGGATGCAGGTTTGCTGCTTCACTCAGCTGTTCCTGTTCTGACCCTGAGGTCCCAGGGATGCGGCTTCTGGACTGATGCCATTATTTCACTTGGAGCTGTGTAAGCTTCCACTCAATGCACGGTTCTGTTCATCTTTTCACCTTTTATTTTGCCTTTAGCTACAGAAAGGAGGCTTGTATTTTTTTAGATCCTGCTCCTCGTCCCGTTTCATTTCCTGTGCACAGACTGAACAGTGTATTACCAACTAACTGAGCACTCCTCTGGAAAATCAGCAGGTTTTTTTTTCTTCTTCCCCAGTGTTCAGTGTTCACTTTGTTCCAAGTACTCATTCCAGCTGAGAAGAGAGCCTTGTCTTCAAGCATTCACATGGTCACATGCAGCTCAGAATTAGTATGCTCACCACTTCACAATACCAACCCGCTTCTTTGTGTACTGTTGGCACTCCTGAAGCTTTCCATCCAGAAAGCTTAGAATCCTAGAATGGCCTGGGTTGCACAGGAGCACAGCGCTCATCCAGCTCCAAGCCCTGCTGTGTGCAGGTCGCCAACCAGCAGCCCAGGCTGCCCAGAGCCACATCCAGCCTGGCCTTGAATGCCTGCAGGGATGGAGCATCCACAGCCTCCTTGGGCAACCTGTGCCAGTGCCTCATCACCCTCTGGCTGAATCTTGAAAGGAATGAATGAAACTTTGCTATGCCCCATGAAATAAATTGAACAGTACAGTGAGTTTGCCCTAGAGAAGAGTAAAAGCTGTTATCCACCTGAGAGCGCTTAAAAATACTTTGCTATTAATTCTTTTCTAATTCAAAGGACTTTCCCCACATCTGGAATGTAGCCATTGCTTTAAAGCTTCTGATCACTCTTTTAACATCTCAGTAAGGGATGTTCAAGTGGGTATGTGTTGAAGAAAGAAAAGGAGAAGCTTTGTTGCATTGGCTTTCACCTTAGATAGCAGTCAGCAGCTCCAGATGCAGCTGGATTGTTCAGCGAAGCGTTATGGGATCCTGGCAGGTAACCCCCTCTCTGATTGCAAGTATAATTTTCTCCTGCAACACAGTAGAATATCCCAAAGGTGCCTCTTACTTGTGATGTGCAACGTGATACCAGCCAGATATCAATAATTCAGCAAGCATCTCGGGCAGCCTGGGCTCAGAGCTCAGGATGGAGGATGTTTGCAGCCCACACATTCGGCTGTGGCATTTGTGTGAGCTGAGCCTGGTGCTGTGCAGCTCCTCATCTACGCTGAGGTCCCTGAGTAAAACAGGATCAAAACTGTTCAAATATTGCACAGATGCCAACTTAGTGCTTTTCTTTGTCTTTTGAGGCATGCATGCCTACCTTGAAACGAACAACTTTACACTGATCCTGGTCTTGCTGGTGCAAGACTTCGCTTCACACCCATGTCACTGGAGCTTCGTATTTCTTTAATAATAAATGCTTCTGGCAGAGATTGGAAAGCCTAATTGACACACTGCGAATTCAGCGTTGTCACCTTTGTTATATTGTTAAGTGCTTATTTTACTGGTCTTCGGTGTGCTTACTTCCAGCCTAATTGTAATTCTATACATTATTGATACACCTCGTGGCAGAAAGTGCCTTTTGTGCAGGCTGAATATTATTTCCACCCATCTTAGAAAGACCTTTAAAGATTCATTCAGACAGTGCAACAGTCTCGGAGATCAATTGATGTTTATGGGATGCTTCCGCCACAGCTGAAGTGCAGGGAGGGCAGAGGGTCCTGCATTCCTCACCAGCTGAGGGCAGAGGGAATGAAGGCTCTGGGACACAGTGGCTGCAGGCTTGGTGTTGGTGGAGCCTGGCAGGCTGTGTCATGCAGCCCACCTAGCGTGGCTCCACTCTGAAATGGCCTGGTAGTCTGCTGTTACACGTGTATTAAAATCAAGAGATTCACATCTGTGAACCTTGGAACTTGTATTCGTTCTTACAACAGGTTTCATCCCTCTGATACGAGGTCTGGCAAAGAAATGTGCTGCTTTCAGCAGTAAAAGGAAGTTGTTTCTATGTCTTTCAAAAGGAGAAGGATTTGAAGCAGGAAATCTTTAGCTGAGACTGCTTGAGCACTGTCTTTGCTTATTCTGTTGAACCTAATAGGGAACTGCCTGCCAGCGCTTTCATGGCGTGATTAATTCATTGGATTGTCAACTTTATAAAGTGGTTACTGGATCTGCTTTCTGTGCAGCCTTGAATGCTGCGACTTGGATACGAATGGCTTAGGCTCAGCTTCTCAACCAAAAAGGGGTACTGAGGGAGGCGTTGGGCTGTGTGCTTCCTTTTAATGTGAAATGACTAATAGATGAAGCCTTTCCTGCCTGTTCACCCCATGAAGTCTCATTCTGGCCTCTCATCTGTTGTTGGGACACACTACTGGCCCCCATCCATCAGGATATATGGCAGCTTTATATTCGGGAGGGTCAGCAGCCTCCCACCACTGTGTGCTGCCATGCCCTCCTGGTTCGTGTGAAGCAAACTCCTTCTCAGTGCTTTTATCATAGAACCACAGCATGGCCTGGGTTGCACAGGAGCACAGTGCTCATCCAGCTCCAAGCCCTGCTGTGTGCAGGTCGCCAACCAGCAGCCCAGGCTGCCCAGAGATTTATCAATCTATCCTTGAGCCGCAGGTTTTTGTTGGCTGGTAAGGACCTTATTGTACCTCCAGTAGGCCCAAGCACTTTCTTATTGCCTGCTTGTTGAACAGGTTTATACTTCTGAAGTTCTCCCGGCACTTGGTGTGAGCTGCTGACAAAATTCTGTTCCACAGATTGCTTTCAGATTCTTTTCCCATGAATCCTACAAAAACATTCCTGCTGTTCAAGCTGGAGGGGTGCTAAGGTCAGGTTTCCTGCACTCCCTTTTGATATGTAGCTGTGCTTTGAGTTTCTTCCTCTTGGACTTCAAGCTGTTCATGTGAGAAGACTGTTCAG